CTAACTACACAGATGTTGAACCTAAAATTGTAAGTTATCCAATCCAATACCAATGGATAGGGGGAATCTTGAGTTCTTGACTAACATTAGAAAGTAAATCTCATCAGCTTAAGGATATGTACTGAAATCCTTATCCATATTCCATACCATCACATGGTTAGTTGTCATGTCATATCATACGCAAAATCGTCAATAAAAAGGTGAGGATAATGTTGCCTTTTTAATAATCTAGTACTTCGTATAACTTTGATTAGGTTAAGCTAACCAAAATACCAAGTTACAAGACTTTTAACGTTGACAAAGCATTTTTTTAAGGTTATTATTGAAATAACCATACTAAATCTCATTTTTTTTTTCTAAAAAGAAGTTTACGTACTAATGCCCCAAATTATGACTAAACGAACACCAACACCTTCTATCTATTATCAATCCTACTGGCGTGTTATCTACTCCAATTTAGAAGTAAAAAAAAAAAAATGAAAAAAAAGGCTCCTTCAATAATGCAATGCTATGCAATTGCTCCAAATTTTGTCTATACATAGTTTGATTGAATCTAGTGGTTTCCCATCCCCCGTCGCACTCAAGCCAGTTATTTCAATGCGATCAATAATTTAAATTGGCACCTAATAATTAATTACGAAGTACTTAATTAATTTAAATATTGACTTTTAGTTAAGTTGGTTTTTTTTAACATATTGTTACTTACATTGAAAATTATACGAAGTTCTTAAAATATACAGAGTAATATAGCATTCATTTATACAGATTTATTTATGAGATCAACATAAGCTAGCTCATTCTAGTTATCGCCCCATTAATTATTTAACAATTATGGAGTATTGGAGTTTTAGCTTTGTTTTAAGAAAACATCACATAGAATTCTCTTTAACTTCTCTAGCCAAATTGTTAGAGCATAAGAATCAAATTTAAACCTCTTTTCCTTGTGAAGTGAGAATCAAATTTCAATCTTATATTCTCAAAAAAATATCTATAATCAAACCAAAAGTTCTTCATTTTTTTCGAATTTTGCTCAATTTACATTGTATGTATGGACCATCATTGTCCTAGTAGTCTAATAAAACCAAACTAAAGGTCACACGTTTTAATCTAAATCACCAAACAAATGGCACCACATTGTAATATTCCATCTAATTGATTTTCGGGGAACTTTTCCTATTGAAAAGTATCATCACACCTTTTATAGAATATCCCAAATATTTAAAACTCTTTTGAGAACCTTCTGATTTTTTAATTTCCCTTTTTTTCCTATCCCTTTCTTCTACCTCCTCCATATTCAATAATTGCACTATTAAAGTATTTATACTTTTACATTTTTTTTTGGCATATACTTTTACATTAATTAAATTCCGAAGAAATTATTAGGGATCTTAATCTTAATAGAAGTATATATACTTTCAAACTAACAACCTTTTATAATTATCATCAAAAAACAATTAAACATAATTTATCAGTTTTTTAATAGTTGCAACACATTCTCATTTTTGCAATATTTAACAAAAGTGATTCTTATATAATTTAACACACTTAAATAAAATGAGATTTATAGGACTATAAAGAGTATAATGAAGTGAGTGACAAGCTTTAAATGAAGGTAAAGTCCAACTTCCACAAATTAAAAATACAAAAATATTGGCTGGTTGTGTTCGACGACGTCAGTTGCTGTATTTTCAGCTTTAGTTGACAGTTGTTGTGTTTTTTGTTGTTTTACTTTTTATTTGATAGCTCTTTTGTCAAAAAAAAAAAATATTACAAAAATAAAATAATAAAATAAAGTATTGCAAGTAATGTGACATTCTCAATTAAGAAAAATGTTGTAAGTATAATTTAAGTCATGCGTTAACATGTGTTAACTTATAAATGATGCAAGTGATGAAAAATAAGTAAAGACATACAATTATTTTTAATGGAAAAATAGAAAAAACTTTTTAATAATTGTATGTCACTTGTTTGTCTGTTTCTTTAAAGCCACTTGTTTATTGCCTCTATAAAATGTCCTCTCTCTTCTCTCCCAACCCCCAATCAAAAACTAGTCCAAACAAATAATATAGAGAAGAAGAAAAAAAAGAGAGAGAGAGTTTTATTATTGCTAGAATAATAAAAAGAAATTTTTTTTTTGAGTGAAATTTTAGTGAAAGAAAAAAAAATGGCAGGAGAAATGCTAGGAGCATGGGTGGATGAGCTAACAAAGTTGAGAGAAAGAGCTAAAAATCCAAACAAGGCAGGAAATAAAGTTGCAAAAAAAGAGCAGAAAGAATTATCCAAGAAATTGGAACAAGATTCTTCTACAAATTTTTCATTTCAGGAGACATCTACTCTATCTGAATCTACTATGTGTTTGCTTCTTGATCGCTTTGTCCCATGTTAGTTGATGATCATTAATCAGAATTATATAAGTAAGATTAGTTGGTAATTAGTATCAACTAATTAATTGTGCTTATTCATGTTGTTGCAGTATATGAATTGTATAAAGAAGGATCCTTAAATTAGCTTGTTGGTTTATGTAAGATTTGTTTTAGATTGGTAAATATTATTGTATGTAATTTGCATTTTTGTTGCAAGTATGATTGTTTCAAGAATTGCTTAACATTTGCTTAACATTTGCTTACAATATATGGTTGTACAATTAGAGGGGGATTATGGATTTTGGATCGGTTTCAATTTAGGTCAATTCAGTTTGAGTCGTATTCAGGTAGTTTTAGGTTAATTTGGTTTTAAGTTAAATCGGTTCATAACTATAATAGATAGGTCAATCATCACTAGATCCGTCTAAAAATATTTAAGTAATTGATAACAATGTCATATCTCAAAATCAAGCTAATTAATTATTATGTAAATATGTAATTGTGTTTTGGTTTTGATAATATCCCCCCCCCCTCCCGATTTGCTCTAAAAAATCAAGCTAAGTAATTAGAAATTGCAGGTGTCTACAACTTTTTTGAAGCTTATGAGAGCTTTTGGAGCGTCATTTTTCTAGTAAACTTGTCTAATTAAATTGTGCAATGATAGATAAATGCTAGCAAGATTTATTACTCTCAGGTCGATCTCATCTACTATTGCAATTTACAATCATTTGAGATTTTTTTTTTTACACTAAGGAGAATCACCCTGATCATACTTATTTCTAACTCTCATGATTTTTTTCATTCAGTATTTGCAGATCAAACACTTAAACGGTGAGGGGTGAGGGTAAGGGATCCCTGCCCTCAAATTGCCTCTTGTGGGGATCTTGTGGGGATTGAACCTCCAACCTTAACTCCTCAAGTTAGAAAGTTGCAACCTTTTCCACTAGACCAAACTAAGCTCAGTTACAATCATTCAATATGTGTCACATTTGTTTAATGAGGTATATTTGAACTAGATCTAAGGGTCTGTTCTTTTCAACTTATTTTCTGTTCAGTTCAGCTCCAATCGGTTCTTAATTTCCTTTTCTCATAAAATATTCAGCTCAGTTCAATTAAATTCAGTTCGGCTCTAATAAGTTCAGTTTAGTTTAATTCAATTCAATTCACCTCGGTTCAGTAAATCAGAACAGACCCTAATTACCACTTCTTCGATTAATTAACTCGCAAGTCATAACACATTGCTCTTACACATATTTTAAAAAGGACACAGTATTAGAATAGGTAAATAAATTAATTAAATAGTTATATATATAATATAGTACGTAAGAATTTTACAATCAATAAGAAAAAAGTGTCATATTATTTTCTTTTCCAGCTTTTAATTAATTTTTTCTAAATGATGTACCAAAAAATTGTGTCGTATTTCCTTACAAAAAAAAGTTGTGTTGTAATTTATTAAGTAAAAAAAAAAAGTTCTCTTCCTACGGGGCTGTTCTTATTGACTTAACTGAGCTGAACTGAATTTATTAGGGCGGAACTGAATTGAACTGGATATTTTATAAGAGAAGGAAATTAAGAGCTGAACTGAACGTATTAGAGCTGAATTGAACCAAACTAAACTGAACTGAAATTATTAGAGCTCAACTGAAAATAATCGTATCAAAACAGGCCCTAAATGATGTACCAAAAAATTGTGTTGTATTTCCTTACAAAAAAAGGTGTGTTGTAATTAATTAAGAAAGAAAAAAAAAGTACTAAGGGTTTGTTCTGATTGACTGAAATGAGCTGAGCTGAATTGAACTTATTGAAACTAAATAAAATTAAACTGAAAATAAATTGAAAAGAACATACCCTAAGTATGGCTTAGCAAATAATTTCAAGCATTTTGTGGTATTTAACACGTGTTATCGGGCTTGGGCTCACTTTGTCAGTCCACAATATCATAAGGCCTAATTATTGGAAGTATTGGACCGCCGAAACATTTCAACTTTTGATACAGTTGTGACTCAATCCTCTACTCTGTTACGTAGTAGGAATGAACTGATTGAACTCTATGTCTACGGGCGTCTGGTTTGCAAAGTGTTATGGGTTGGAATCAGGTTTCAAACTTACTCTCAACACCATATGTTTTGCTTGATTATAAAATAAAGTTTCATTCTCTTATTTGATACCTAAAAGTATTAGTATGAGCCAAACTCATCTCCCCCGCTAGGTCTCTAAATTCCATACCATAGGGTTTTGAAGTATGAATTTCAATCTATTTCAGTATGAATTTCAATCTGTACCAATTGTATTTCTTAATAGAGTAATGAATTGAACCATTATTCTATAAAGCCCCATGTATTGTCACTTATGGCACACACTTGTCTTTACTTGAATCTCACTTTGTTGTTCCACAAACATACCTATAATGCTTGGTTGAGTATCTTTCTTAGTACCAAGAACAAAGTAGACACTTGATGAAGTACTTATTCAAATTCACAATTCCATACTCCCTCCATAAAACAATAATCACTATGTATAGGCATATACTATGAGACGTCCAAAAAAATTGTCACAACTCTTACAAAATTTGCTAAATTTCTACTTCCTCCAATTTCTGTAATGAAGTGATGCTATAAGAAATACAAATGAGAGTTAAGAAAACTTATATTTGTTTATAAATGAAAGAAAAAATTATTTTCCTAAAACGCTATAGTATATTGGATATCAAAAAATTATACAATCACCTCTCCAAAGGTTAATTACAACACAGTACAGTCTTTCCTTTCATATACCTATCTCTATGTTCAATTCTCCATGCTCAAATAATGCACACTAAAGCTTGTGATTGTGCATATACAATTATACATATATGTACATAAACATCAGACAAAAGAATGTTACTATATGAGGATAAACCTACATTTGGTGTTCACCTTCAGCAAAGTTTGAATAAGAGCTGTTTTCAATACTCTCTGACGAAATATCATGTATGCTACTGAAGTTCAACTTATCATCCTCCCATCTAAGAATCTCTCTCGCATATTTCAGAGCATTATCAACATTATCAGGCTCCAGAGCAGCAACTGGACAAACATACAACTTCCTTCCAGTTAATGACTTGAATAGCCTCTTGAATTGCGCCCCAATGTAGTGGCATGCGCGTTGAGCCAGAGGTGCTACGTTGTTACCACTGCGCCTGGTGCTCTGGTGACGGCTGAACACCGGATTGAAGTCCTGAAACCACTCGCATTGTGTGAGGGGTACTTGCTCGATCTTTTCCTCCAAGAGATCAAACTTGTTGAGGATCAACAGGAAATTCATATCCTTGTATGTTGGGTGACTAATGATGCTCTCAAAGAGTCTCTTGCTCAGCAACATCTTGTTTGTAAGTTTTCCACTACTGTCGACCTCATATTCATCGTAGTCTATCAGGGACACACAAAATAGGACGATGTTAACATCTTCAAACATCTCCAACCACTTGCAGTTCTTCCCTAGACTTTTTGCGGGCACTCTAATTAGTTCGTATCTGCAATGCAATACATTAATAAACAAGAGTAAGAACATATGATTCTTGAATTCGACAGCATTTTACAGAATTAGACTAAGGGGAGGGATTATTGATCAAGGGGCATACTGAATTACTGATTGAGCTCTTAAGTAAACAATAACAACTCAGAAATAAGCATATGAGAAAGCAAACACATGCCATATGAGAAAGCAAACACAAGCAAAATTGAGCAGCAACTGGCAAATACATGAAAAAAAAAAAGGCCACTCTGCTTCAAACACAACCTTTGCCAATGAACCTCCTTATGCCATAACCAATCTTTTTAACCTTCCAAAACTTCATAAAAGGCTCCAAATCCAACAGGGAAAGACTTAAAAAGAAAGGTTATAAACAACGGAGCAAATGTCCTATCTTGCCTCTGAAAGTTCTATCGTTCTATACCATGGCGATTCAATATGACGACATGCATTCTTGTTATTATTCCTGAACATACCATCAGTTATATCGATTGAATTACCACATCTCTAATACTCTATTCTCGACTACTCTACTCATGCACAACCATCTTGACTGTATTTTAAGGGTGATTATTAATGAGAGTATATTCCTCCAAGTTTACCAATATAGTGTTGATAGGAGAGGAATAAGGCCATGATAGCTTTTTCCCCTCTGATTATTGTCTCTCAGGCAATTAGCCTCTATTGAGTACTACAAGCAAATTTAAATAAAAGCCTCACAGTAATTTATTCCTGACATAGTTGAACAGATATTGTAGCTTATGACTTATGAGTAAACAGTACCATAAGATTTGCCAATTACAATCTAGTAGACATAAACATGATTAAGTGTTCAAGTAAATTCTCAAGACCATAGAGCAAAAGTGAGAAAAGTAATTGAGATATAACTGATACTAAAACAGGAGAAGATGGTAATCATTCTACATTCACAGTCCTTTCAACATTTGCTCAGATAAAAGAATTACCGTGTAATAAGGTCAGCTGGTTGGCCAGCTGGATCCTCGCAGCCATTATCTGGTGGCTGAGGGAAGGAGAATTCCATAGAAGTGAGACCATTGGATGACGTTATGCCCTCTGCGTATATGATGTCAGTATCAGAGGGCTCATAATCCTTTTGGGCAATCTCGACTGCCTGAAAAGGTTAAGTTTACAACAAACACATATCAATCACCCAATCATGATACTATAGCATACATACTAAGTAAATTAGTAATACATAATACATTCTGATTGTCAAAGCAGAAGGCTAAATCCATTTTAATTAGGGGCACAGATATTGCTTATTCTACGTATAAGATATTTCTAAAAACCTTTGAAATATATTACAATGAATTAGTAGACTGAGAAAAAAAATTATATTCCAGCAAGGCAGGAACTGTAAGATAGGGTCACAACCAAAGGCATGATTTCCAAATTTAACACTGGGCGGTAGGATAATGTTTAATAGATGAATTTTAACAGGTTTTCAGTTTTGATTGATGCAATGGTATTCTCTCTATCATACATATTGTGAAACTCACCTAACAACAACAAAAACTACAAAGAAAAGCAAAAGGTAATATGCAAACAAAATTATTACAATACAAGAAACTTCACTCAAGTTAATAGCATTTAGAGTCATGAAATTACTTCTGTAATGTGTTACACCAAATAATTATTCTCAAAGGAACATAATTTAAGTAATTAATTTGAGCCCTCCAACATTCATAACGCCATTTTAACATTGAAATGATTTTTTTCTCCTTAAAATTATTATTGGATATCAACTTCATCCTGTACCAGTGGGATAAATTGCAACAGGGAAGAGCAAATATTCAGAAGGCTGATAAATCCCCGTCAGCTAATTATGCATTGCTTATGCTTTAACTTCTTTTCATATTACTGTAAATTTATAAAGGAACTTCATCACAGTTATAATTTGTGGCCATTGCATGCATCAAGTACACCAATAGCAGAACATATATTTAAAAGATCAAAACACCTGCCTAGGAATGTGTAAGAAGACAAGCAGTGGTCTTACCCTATCTAAGAAATAATTAGCAACCCTGGGTAGATCTAATTCATCTCTCCTTCTGTATGTGGCTTGAAAGGCTGCATCATTCCACAACTCTTCAACACATGGGGCATACTCTCGGGTAGATGCTGGGAAAACCAAGTCCAGGTTGTTTGACACCATGACATCGATGAGCCAATCAGAAAACTTCTTCAATTTCAGCCCAAAAGTATACTCAGTCGTACATTTTTGTTCACTTATAGAATCTGCAGGCCAAAGTTGAACTCAGAGGAGTCTAACACACATATAGAGAGGTCTTTAACAAATATGAGTACATATTGAAACTTCATCCACTGATTAATAAAAATAAAACTATAAAAGTACTCAGTATCAATATGCAGGGTAGGGTACTTTAGGGAGTAGAATTATACTTAAGTTGTTACTTGTTAGTGACTTGAAGGAGATGATAGGTAGTTAGGATAGAAGCTCTATAAACAGAAGAAATGAGAGGCAGAAGTGATGTTGAATATTGATGAGAGTTATAATAAGCTTTTATACTGCTAAGTGGGAGAGAATCAAACATCTTGAAAGCTTGAATATCATTTAAATTCTCTGCGATTTCCATAATTTTAATCAATCATCTTTTCTTCCCTTAAATTCTGCGGTTCTGCCATTACTGATGTCTAAGCTAAGTTAATTCTACAAAATTCTTTATGGACAATTTCTTTCTCGGAGTCCTTATAAAAGGCTGAGCCCTTTTGGAAGACTCTGCGGAGACTAAACGGGCACTGCCTAAAGGACGATGTCCAGGGGACCCCCCCACCCCACCCCAAAAAAACAAAAAAGGTACATCTCATGCCTATGAACAAAAAAAAAATATGCGGGAAAAAATCCACAGTATCGTGAGAGATAATAGGATGCAAGCCATGTGTTACCTGATGGACCAGGATCAGCAGACTGCCTCTTCCTCAGTTCCAACAAACATTCTTCTTCAAATATTTCACGTCCCTCAAGTAGTCTACCAAGATACCCATAAAGATTACTCTGTATCATGGACTTGATTTTTTTACGCTCCTCGTCCAAGAAAGGTACATCATATAGAACCCTAGCCTATTAAGAAAAATATCAATGCACAACAGCCAGTGAGTGACATTTGTTTTCTAAGAGATTAACAGGCAGTTGCTACATTTAATCACATCACAAAGTAGTAAATTTTATCAGCTCAGAAAGTTTTACGTGCCCTATCCTTTACTATACAAATAATACAATCTAAACAACTAATAATAAAAACAACTCTAAGAAGAAAAAAGTTCAAGTAGACAGGCACAGGCACATACTAACCTGCTTAAAAATGGCACTTGTTCCGGAACAATTTAGGCCAAATAGAAGCAGTTTACATAACACTCTTTGTTCTAGGTAGTTAGAAAATGCTCCTTCATCAGCATGGTTTAATATTCCTCTAGAGTTTGGCGATTCAGGAGTAGGCAATGACAAGAAAGCACAATAAAGCTTAGTCCTTTTCTGCAAAATAAGCACCTTTTAGTCCAAAGCCAAAGGACATATATGGACAATTTAAGACTTATAAAATAAGTAAATGGAGGCAATACCCTGGCCCAGATATTTCCTTTTTCCACTCGCATTCCCAGTTCAACTATGGTTCCATCTGCCGACAGCCAAAGATCAAAACACCCTTCACACATAATACCGGAGGACTGCAAACATTTAGTGTAAGATGTTAGATTTGAAAATTAGACAATCATTTGAATCAAAATTCCATCTTTTTTGTTAAGTTTCAAGGAGAAAAACCTTCAGCATCAACTGCTCTGCATAAGTAATCTCCCGGCCATTGATCAGCACATTTGTGTTCCCATTGCTAGCTTTTCGCATCATCCGCCGATGTCCAACGGCAAGATTTGGAGTAATAATCTGGCAAGGTTTATCCCCTTCCTGTTTCATCAAGCCACGGCTATAAGATTATATGCTGCTTCAAGTTATACTACAAAGTCAAGTTAACTTTCCTCGCATTTAAAAAGAAACAAAAAAAACTACGTATACCTTTCCCCAGAAACCGGAGACTCTATCATACCAATAGGATCCTGGTTTTAGATTCCTTGGTGGATTGGGGCATCTAAGCAACAACATCAGCTCATTTAAGCATAGTGAGCGACCATTCACCGAAATGCACTTTGGAGATAGCTGGTTGACAGGACAAGATAGCTCAGCCTCCATAATCTGTCTCACTTCCTCCTTCTTTAACCATCCCCTCAGAAACCGCGAGCTCTTTCCAAGCATCTTCCTTTTTGAGTCATCAATAGGGTAACCGATACAGGTAAGGCATTTTCTGCCTTGTGGCATTGATCCCATTGCTTTTCGAATGCAATGGCAACAATATTTGGCATCACAAACAAGACAAGCTTCTTTCTCAGTAAAACGATTCCCTCTATGACAATGATAACACATACCCTTCTTAGGAGGCTTTTCAGGCACTGGCCTTTCGGCGTCCCACACACTATAACTCTCTTCCGTATACATCGAAGACTCCTCAACAACCACAACATTAGACTCATGATCACCAAAAGTAACACCTCCCTTCTTCTTCCTCCTACACTCAAGACGTTCCCCATCAGAAGCCTCCTCTTCCTCACAAAAAATCCCACCAAAACGCTGAGATGTCGTCGAATCAGGCTCAATTGAGTTATTATTATTCCACCTCTCCGAACCCATACAATCCTCAGAACCCTCAATTTCATTACAATCATCAATTGGGGTTTCCAACATATCTGAACTCTTAGACATCCCATGTGAATGATCCTGGGAACTACCCGAAAACCCTAAAGTACCCGAACTCTCAACCCCATCTTCCAATTCCCCATTTCCCATCAACCCATTATAAGAAACATCATCATTAAACCTATCCTTTGAAGAAATTACCTGAATCTTCGAATTATCAACCCTGGAACCTAGCTTAACCTCATTAAAACCCCTAATATTTTTCCTAATAGGTTCAACTACAGGCAATGATAAATTATACAAATTAGCAGGTGAAGCAGCAATCTTAGCAGTTGGAATACTATCAATATCAACAGGTAAAACTTTAAGAATCATACTAGTAGTAATTGGAGAACCTGTATATTCCATAGCAATTGAAATATCAGTATTATAATCAAAAAATTCTGTACCAGACATTGATTTTGAGACTGGCATGATCTTCTTCATAATCCCCGCCATAGCCAAAACCCTTGCTTTTCCCACCAAAATTTCAAATTATGCAATCAAAACCCAAAAACAATATCATCAAAGATTCAATCTTTCTTTCTTTTTTTGGTTTAATTCATGGAAATTTGGAAAAGGGTATGAATGAATTGTAAAAAATCGTCTTTGAAATGAATTTATAAAAAATTGATAAGAACTGAATGAATAAAAACACAAATTTAGGAGGTAGAATACAAATTTGGTTGTTTGATTCTGAGTTAGTTCAGTCTAGTTTACATGAAAAAAGGAAGGTGAGAGGGGTTCTTAAATTCAACTACGCGTAAGTTGAAGCTGCTTGGAAGTTGAGGGAGGACTTGAGAGTCAAGAGTGGAGGAGAGAGAAAGCGATTGAATTTGCATTCGGGGCGCTAAATTAATGATTTTTTTTATTTGTCCTCATGACCGGGGGAAAGTCAATACTCCGATAGAGCTGGTTAAAGTTGATCCGATTTAAAATATGTTTGTTTTAATGGACGTTAAAATGAACTATAAAGTCTATAAGACCATTCTCAGCAGTGAGGAAAAAAAAAACCTCTCAATCTCTCTCTACCCACTTTCTCACTCCTCCCATACAATTTCTCTCATCAAATGTTTTTTTCACCACAGCAATGAGGAGAAAAAAAACCTCTCATCACTTTCTCCTCCACTATTTTTTAATTTATTTTTTAATTACGTTTAAAAATAATTTAATAAAAAATTATAATTACGTTTAAAAATATTAATAATACTAACTGGAAATTTTTTTTATAAGAAATAATTATAATAATAATAATAACAAGAAGAAATTGGGAAAATATGTTAATTTCTCTAATTTATGGGTTTTTTTGAAAGTATATCAAAATGCATGTCTATTTATAGAGAAAAAAATTTTATGGTCGTTGGTGATTTTTTTTTTTTTTAAAAAAATAATTACAACGGTTATATTTCAAATACAAAATATAACCGTTGTAAAAAAACAACAAAAGCAGTGGGGGCCACATGTTACTGTTCATCACCAAAAGCCCTCAACTCTTGAGGGTTTTTATTTTCACTCATCGGTGAGTGTTTTTTCACTCACTGATGTAGTGTTCGGATTTTTTTTTTTACACCCTTATTTTTACTCGTGAGGGCTTTTCTCCTCACTGCTGGGAGTGCTCTAAGCACAAGTTCAAATATTATCACTAATTTAACTTGGGCATTATTTTATTAACTGTTATTCATGGTTCATTTTAAGCAAAGTTTCATGGCTTATACTTGCACTCTGTATATAATTTTTTTAGGAAGAAAAACAATATTACTAAGGAAAATTTAACAATAATAAACCAACCTTTGCTCCATTCTCTCAAAATGGACCAACCTTTAAATCTTTCAAAAATAGATACAAGTTTGTATTTTTTCTCCCAAATTAGATCAAGCAGGTCACTTGACTTGTTATACCAGGTTGCAATCCACATGTCAAGTCCTTATTGGTTACGGAGTAATTTTTTTTAAAAAATATTTTGATAATTGATAAAAAAATATTTATTTTAATTTTTAAAATCAAATAATTAAAAAATAAAAACATCCTCCTTTAGTCCCTTTCCCCACCACTGCCAGCCCCACTCCCCACCAGCCACCTCTACCCGGCCAACCGGCGGCCGACGCTTAACTGCAAGCAGCACCTCAACACACAAAAACCAATCAACCAAGATCAAATTCGACACCAAGATAAAAATCGATCCCCTTTAATTTCTCTGATCCGATCTCCTCTAATTGGATCTCATTCTACCCAGAAAATCATCAATGGCGCGCCACCGCATCACCGCCTCGCCTTCTTCTTCTTCTTATCAATTATCATGTGGAACAATCGACCCATAATACCCATCGACAAACTCAAACTATACTTTAAAAATTGAATTTTTTTTTGCTCAATTTATTTATGAGAAATTTATGAGGGTGATATCGTGTGGAACTTTCACAAGAATCACAACTATGCTTAATTGATTGTGGTAGGGATATTTAGCAATTGATGTTGATGATAAAATGGGTGTGGAAATTATTTAACTATGATTAATTGCTGCCGGAATTTAAGTTTCCGATGACGATGAAATAGATTACTCCATCAAACCTGAGTTTTATAATTCTGATCTTGATGACAAGGATGATTCATGGGTGGCTAGAAAAAGAAAGTTCCACGAAAGACGTCATGCTCAGCTCGCAGTGGGTGGGGGGAGGAGGGCTAGCAGTGGTGGGGGTGGAGGGCTGGCGGTGGTCGGAGTTTTTGGTTTGTTTGTTTGTTTTTTTTTTATTATTTATTTATTTTTTTTTATTTTGTTTTGTTAATATTTTAAATTAAAAAGATAAATAAATGAAAAAAAAAGTGACCGGTTATTTAGATCATAAGTCAACTTGGTCTAATATGGGAGAAAAAAATGCAAATTTGTGTCTATTTTGGGAAGATTTAAAGTTTGGTCCATTTTGGGAGAATGGAGCAAAGGTTGGTTTGTTGTTATTGAATTTTTCTATTACTAATAATTAGTCATACTATATCTACAATGATAATATAAATTTGTAAATCATATATTAGTAACTTTTTTGCATTTTTTTCATAACTCATACTTCACTACTACTTACTTTATTTGTTTATTATTAATTTTTTTAAAATGCCTCTTACTAGCTATATTAATTTTTTATTTTTTTTAAAAACAATTTCCCACTTTTCTCTCCTAAGTTTCAATCACTATCTTGTGAATATGTAGGTAAAGTATAATTCTTAAAGTATAACCATTAGAGTGAAATTAAGGAATTTCCACCCCTTTCAATATAATTGTTACCATTAACCTTTCATACTTTGAACTATTACATACCTAATTGTGTGTTTGTTTTTTTGAAATAAAATTGATTCATAAATAAAGTCATACGACATCTACAAAGAGATTTAGATCTAATGAATACATAATAATTGAATCAAATAAAAACATTCCATAAGCAAAGCTACGATCGTTGTTGCAAATCGTACATTCTTCATACCCTCTTTCATATCGCTGTGATTTACAGCCTTTATTGGCGAGGGGGTCTATTGATCTGTTGTAGTCCTGCAGAAAACTTCCGTCTGATTCGCTAGATTGTAATCGACATATTAACCTCTTTTTCGATCTCGCACAAAATTTCACTACTAGAAAACTGCTGTTTTTCGACGGAAAAAATCCCTTGAAAACACCTTGTTTTCCGTCGGAAAACCCGTTTCCGACGGAATTTCGTCGGAAACCGTCGTCGGAACACCCTTCGTAGGAAAATCGACCTTTTCCGACGAATCTTTTTGTCGCAAGTGATTTCAGGCACCAGAAAAGTCCGTCGGAAATTTCCGACGGACACAAATCCGCCGGAAAATTCCGACGGAATTTCCGTCGGAAACTGATTTATAGAATTTAAAAAAAACGCCGCGCCACCACCGGCCCGTCGCATCACCACCTCAAAACACCACAAGCCCTTAACTAACCCTAAGCCCAGACCGTCACTCCCCAAACTAACCAAGATCCAACCACCACCAGTCCACCACCACCGAACCCTAACCCAGAACCACTCAAATCAGCCACCGTCACCGAACCCTAGCCCAAAACCACCCAAATTAGCCACTACCACCGAACCCTAACCCAAAACCACCCAAATTAGCCACCATCACCGAACCCTAGCCCAGAACCACCCAAATTAGCCACTATCACCGAACCCTAACCCAGAACCACCCAAATCACCCACCACCTTAACCGACCCCTCAACCCGAAACCCGAAAAAAAAAAACTAAAAAATTAAGATAAAATACAGAAAAAAAAAAAACTAAAAACAAAAGATTAAAACTTTGTAGATCTACTACACTTACCACAACAATTCGACCACAATCAACCAAATTTAGTCTTGAATTTGGGTATATAAAGTCAAGTTCGACCATTAAAACGCTAGATCTAGCATTTTCATGGTCGAACTTGACCTTAAAACCATGAATTTCCTCCTTAAACCATGAATTTTCTCCTTAAAACCACGAATTTGCTCCTTAAAACCACGAATTTGTTCCTTAAAACCATTAATTTGCTCAAAGAAGAGGAGGACGAAGCGAGAAGAGAGGACTGAGAAAAGAGGATTAGAGTAGAAAGAGAAGACGAGGAGAAGAGGAGATAGAGAACACCGAGAAAAGAGGAGAGAGAAAGAGAAGAAGATGAGGAGAGGAGAGAGAATGAAAAGGAGTAGGAGAAAGATAAAGGGGGCGGAACGAGAGAAGTGGGGTGTTTTAGGGTTTTGTTTTTTTTTTTTTTTAATTAGACTCCGACGGAATTTCCGTCGGAAAGTACATATTTTCCGTGAATTTTTATTCCGTCGGAGATTTCCGACGGATCTCCGACGGAATAAAAATTCGTCGGAAAATATGTACTTTCCGACGGAATTAGGTGTCCGTCGGAAATGGCCCTATTTCTAGTAGTGTTTTATCCATGAAACAACTCTATAGTAATCCATAAAATAAAAAAGCAAATCCTCCCTCAAAAGAGAGAAGAAAAACCCGGTCTTTCGAAAGAGCCAAATCTTCCTAAAGAAGAAGAAAAACCCTGTCTTTGTTGTTTTAGGTTTATAATAATTGGGTGTTTGTTGTTACAAGTTACTTTTCATGTTACAATTTACTTTTCATACTTTGATCATTTATATACCTAATTATGTTTTTGTAAAACTTATTAGAAATCAATTTTTAAAATTATATTTTAAGACATTTAATATCCAACAAAACCATTTTTTTTTAACGTATAATAAATCACAAACAGTTGCGAAAATGAAGTTTGTAGATAGTATTAAGGTATGGCCTTTAAGTAAGCAAGTAGAGCATTAATTATTAAACACGGAGTAATGGATATTAATTAAAGGAAAGTTTGAGTTACTTAATGAAACTTAAGTAAGCAACACCATCCATTTTATGGTTAGTTATGGAAGATGAAGCTTCCTCACAACTTCATAGAAGCCATCGATCATACCTCATAAGAATTTGTTTGGTTGAGCTTGACTTATTTTTGTGAGCTTACTTTAATTTTACTAATAAAAGCCCTATTCTCTCTTTTACTAAAAAAAAAAACCTAATAGTTCCTCGGGTTTTCTCTTTGGGAGGGTTTTTTTGGTTCCCTCTAGGGTTTCTCCCTTGGAAGGGTTTCCCTAGCCATTGCTAGATTTTGTCTACTTTTTTTTAAGGTTTTCCTTCAATCTTCTCCTTTTCTCTCTTTCTCTTCCATCTTTTTTCTTCTGATCTCAATTCTAAACTTTTGTAGGGGCTTCCACCGGTGCTTTTACCGGTTGTAAGCCCCAATTTTTTTTTTTAATTGCTTTCAATAAAGGATCACATATGTATGGTGGTGTTTATTCTTTTAGGTTTAATTTAATTTTTTTTTGTTCGTCAGCCAAAGATTGAAGATTTAGGGTTTCACAATCTCTAAAAGTATCTAGAATGCCATATGAGTTTTTTCACCCGAACAACTATTCATCTGTGGATCTCAAGCCGAATTAGTGCTAACTCACAAATTGTATTGCTTCGGATAAATAATTTTATAAAGGCGATCGTTGCTCGAATCTGCGATGTAATTAGTTCTAAGGTGAATTGTATTTGTGTTGGAACTTTAGATTTCATCGGAATTGTTTGTAAGTGCTGTTTGACTATCTTTCATTAATGAAATCCTTTTCTTCTTGTAAAAAATAATAATAAT